AGATTATCAACGAGACTAAATAAAAATCATATATGCATAAAAGATTTGTTATTACTTTTATTTAAATCCGTTTTAATCTTTATTTAAATCCCTAGAGTCCAACTAGGCATGCACAGAAAACGAATTAACGGGAAAGAGAAGAACAGAGACTTGCCTGCAATTCCAGATTTTGAAACTGAAATCCTCTGTCTCTGAATGTTCCGTTAATATCTTAGACTGTAGTTCCACCTCTGTTGCTATTGGTTTCACCTATAAGCAACCCCTCCTTCCTCCTTCTTGGTCCAACCTAGCCTTCCTCTCCTATCTCTCTTTCTTGCTCTCTGTTGCTCTCTCTGTATCGTGAACAGAGTTTTGTATTTTCTCAAACCCTTAAACCCACATAAGATTATATTTATAGGCTTAATACTCCAACCCTAATCCTTGTATAATTAGAGCCCTAATGCAACTCTTAGTCAGCCCAAGAAAACCTTTTAATAACCTATGTCGACTAAAACCAAAACCCTAAATTCTTAAACAGTTAATTCACCTAAGCACGTAAATAACTAAACTTAAGAAACATAATTAAATAACCAATTAACATAAAACAGTTTTATTTAAAACAATTAATACAATTAAGTCATTACAGAAAAACAAAATCCAATTAATCAATTTAAAACGCAATTTAAAATAATCCAATTAAAAAACAATAATAAAATAAAAGAGAACAATTAATTAAAATAAAACACAATTAAATAAAATAACCCACAAGTAATTTCAATAAAACAAACAAACAAATAATTTTTAAAACAATGACACCTAATCAAATAAAATATAATAATTAAATTCCAGAATTATCCTTTTAAAATTAGGGGTATTACACAATGTCACTCCCCATTTTCCCAAAACCATTTCCATTATCATTTCCAAACCGTTAGTGAACCCATCTCATGGCAGCTCCATGGCGGCACGAGAGGAGGATTGGCCACTATCCCTGACCCATGACAGCTCCATGGCATCATTTGGGGCCCAGATAACTCAACCACACTAGGGCAGTCTCCCTAATCCCCTCTAGGCCTCACTAACGCCGCGGTCCATAGGCAACTCCTAGGCGGCCGGGTTTTTCATAAAATTCTTTTCAAAATTCTTTTCCAAAAATATATATGTATATATATATATATATATATATATATATATATATATATATATATATATTGTCAAATTCATGTTCCCATCTCTTTCCCAATGAAGTATATAGATGCATCATGCCTTTTTGGTCATAGCAACATTTATCATCACACGCCAATTTTAAGATTTAATTACTTAGCATGCTTCATAAGAAGTTTAAAAAAAAATAACATATTTCCTTCAACAAAATTCTAGCATGGTAAGCAAGTAAGACATGGAATTAAATTCATATAAGCACATATTTCTTGTAACACCAATTAAAACACATAGACATATATCTCATTACAACAATATGATCATTTCAAGGAAAAACTAACACAATTTAACATGTTTGACAACAAATCAAATAAGATGATTCACAAAGGAGTAAGAAAAAGTGAATTAGGAACCCCTATCTCAATTATATGCAAAACCCCCAAATTCCACCTCAAACCCTAGGATTTTCAAATATCCTATGGTGCATCAACCAAGGAATTGCTCCTATCAACTTGTAGGCCTCGCCGTGAGCTTCAATTTGCCGCAAATGGCACCCAAAATCACTAAATATTGAAGATTAATCAAAGCTTTTGTGAAAGGAAAACAAAAAGAAAAAGAAGAAAACCGAGAGAGAAAGAGAGAGAGCAGTCGCGAGAGAAAGGGCTAATTGAACAAATGGGTCTGTAAATGACCCTTGGTCACTTATGATAAGGGTGGCCCACCAACTTTTCCATTTATAATAATAATAATAATAATAATAATAATAATAAAGCATAACATTACAACAACATTGAAGCAAAAAAGATTTACTAAAGTAAACTACTATTACTTCCACCAATATTGCAAGAAAAAGGGTAAGATGATAATTTCATTATTATCATTTCCCTTCTTTTCTCTCCTTTGTATTATCCAAACAACAATATTGTCAATTCCTTTCTTTTCTCTCCTATCTACCTAAACATGAATATAAATTATAGCTATCATTTCCTTTCTTTTCTTTTCTTTTATTTTCTCTTATAATCCTTTCTTTTATTTTCTCTCCTGTGTATCCAAACGAAGCCTAAAATTCTAGGGAGAGAAAATATATTCTTCTTTTTCTTCTAAAAGTCTTTCCTAAAATATACACAAACCCATGTATATATAGGCAATTTAAAAATAAGAAAAGGAAACAATAAATTCTTCTCAATCTCTAATTCACATATCTCAAATCTAATAGGATTCCAATATCAAGTTGGGCCATGAGTGAGAATCCTATTGGGCTTATTATTTTCTTGGCTACAATAAATTAATAATTGGCCCGGTCCATAGACCTAATTAAATTAATTCATTAATTAATTTTTACTTCACTAAAAGAAATTAATTGAACTCCAATTAAATAATAAATAACCTCTAAGTCAATGTTGCACTTTGACCCCTCTATGTATAATTAGTTATCGGATAAATAAAGTCATCAATCCGACTACTTAATTAATATATTTATTTTGGTACCTTTGATTATTTTCGGCTCGATCACAATAAAACATTTGTTTGACAAAAATAATAATTTAAATAAATAAATATATAATAAATCATTTTGTCTAAAAACACACGAAGGTCTTTGAATTTAATTTGTAATAAACCATAATCAATACAAAATAAATACAATTAGCATTGATGCAAATATTGAGAATATAACAATCTAACTATTAATTACATAACAACCCAAAGTGTCGGTCTAAGGATTCCGAAGTATCTGCCGAACAAATCAAAGTAATTATTAATTATAATAAAAGAGTTTATATTTCTTTCATGCTTAAGAGTCAAATACCATGACAGTGATATGGAGCAATTGCATACGACAACTCTCGCAATATATCTCAACCTAATACGGATCAACTTCAAGTCTTAGTTAATAATGAGTCTATCTATAATTACCGACTATGAACTATTTATGATTAATATTTATACTCATGTATTGATCGCCATCACACACACATATATATATAAATATCTCTTGTAAGTAATCAAGTGGACACTATTAATTCCATAATGAATCGAAATATAATACATTGAATTCACCAATTATATAAAGTATAAATATTTCAGATATCTTAGGAACATATGTCACTTTAATCCAATCAGGAATTCGCTATGCCATGGCATATAAATTCCAACAACACTGCCATCAAATTCTGAAACAGACTGCATCTCCGGACGTGTTTGAAGATGATCATAAGAAACACTGCCATCAAATTCTGAAACAGACTGCATTTGCGGGCGTCTTGGAGATGATCATAAGAAACACCGCCATCAAATTCTGAAACAGACTACATCTGCGGACGTTTTTGGAAATGATTATAAGAAACATTGCCATCAAATTCTGAAACAGATTGCATCTGCGAACGTTTTCAGAGACGATAATAAAAAAAGGGGAAAATATATTGTGAAACAAGGGGGACAAGGAGAAGAGCCAACAAATAAAAGGTTTTCATTTTTAGTGTGATGGGTAAGCTTAAATGTGGCTGTGTGTTCAAAATATTTATAATGGTCAAAAGCTATAGGGCTGCCAAACATGTATTTTTCACCAATTAATAAATAGTAATCCATATAACTTGTCTCAAATTCCCATTATTATTAGTTTCTATTTTAGAGTGTATTTTTTATGGTAATTTCTTGTAGAGACATATATTGGGCTCTAAGAAATTGTAATCCTTGTCCACCAAGGAATTGGGTATGTGACTCTATAAATAGACACTTAGGTTATTGTTGAGAGTTATGTGTTGAGAGAGATGTAGCCTCACGAGGGAGTACGTTGATGGTAGGGGTGAGTTACGTGTTTGGTAGAGTGAACACTGATGGCAAGAGGGAGTCTCGTGGAGTACACGAAGAATTGGGTCAAGAGTTTGTGTGCATGGTTCGGTGTTGAAATTCTCTACTGTTGTAATATCTCTACATATATAGTGAATCTCTTCTCATCCGTGGATGTAACCCTGATTTTGGGTGAACCACGTATATATTTTGTGTTATGGTTTGAATTGTTATTTTCTTTCTTTCTTTTGCTTCCGCTGTGCCCCAACAACTGGTATCAGAGCAAATTTCATTACGTCAATCATCACTTCTCATGGCAATTGAATATGGACAATTCTCTGCCACTTCAATCTTCTCGATCTTATTGTAGAACTCATACGTTACTCAATCAGTCAAACCCCAAGGCTCCACCTTGACTACTCAAGCTCTATGCCATGTAACCAAACCGATTGACTCCATCTACAATTGAAGCCTGTTGTAGCACATGTTGAGCCTTCTTGTATTTTCTAGATCTTCTTCACCTTTGGCTCTGATACCAGTTGTTAGGGCACAACGGAAGCAAAAAAAAGAAAGAAAAACAACAATTCAAACCACAACACAAGATATATACGTGGTTCACCCAAAATCAGGATTACATTCACGGATGAGAAGAGATTCACTATATATGTAGAGATATTACAATAGTAGAGAATTTCAACACCAGACCATGCACACAAACTCTTGACCGAGTTCTCCTTGTACTCCACGAGACTCCCTCTCGCCATTAGTGTTCACTCTACCAAACCCGTAACTCACCCCTACCATCAACGTACTCCCTCATGAGGTTACATCTCTCTCAACTCATAACTCTCAACAATAGCCTAAGTTTCTATTTACAGGGTCACATACCCAATTCCTTTGTGAACAAGGATTACAATTTCTTAGAGCCCAATTCACGTCTCTATAAGAAATTACCATAAACAATACACTCTAAAATAGAAACTAATAATAATGAGAATTTGAGACATAATTCCTAAGGTTCATGATGAAATTATTGTATACAGAAAATATTAGAATGTTGCCCAATAAAGATATACCATTTGGTGAAATTTGTATCACATTAATACTTATAAAATTTACTTCCAACAAATTGACATGATTCATTCTCATTGAATGAATTAAATGGTTCGCAGGCCCCTCATTTATTGTCAGCCCCACACGAAATTGGTTGGGCTATCATTTTTCAACTGTAATTCATACGGAGTACATCTTCTAACAAACCCCTTTTTGTTGTTTTCTTTCTCTATCCAGGTAGAAGTGCAAAACTTAATTCAGTCTTCTTAAAAAATGACATGCCCCCATAGAGCCTCTGTAAGTCCGTATATTTCCGGCAACCTTCTAGGACCAGAACAATTTCAACTATGGAAGACATTTTAGTCAATCAAGACAAACTTCTTCTTGTGGAAAATAAATCTAGATATATGACTTATATATTAACAATTGGTGCATTATGACATAACGTGCACAGAATTTATTCATCACAAAAATATTAATCTTTCAAAGTACTCGTGGCGGGAATATGATCTCATTACCACACCCCTTCTTAGCTTTATTTGTTGGGCATGAAATAAATTTTGTCCCGTTAGCATTGAGACACATATATATCTCAAAGAGTAAGGTACGATTCTTGCTGTCAGTTCTGCATGACACATAAACATTAGTAATATTGGCGCCAAGTCGCTTTTGAACAGCATTCTGGATGTCTGCCTTGTTGTAAGTTTTGTTGCTGGGAGTTATGTTCTTAGCTTGGAGGTAGCTGAGAACATTGGTTTTGTTGGTCTGATCTATTGCCACTTCGAAATAGTTTACCGCCTTCTTGAGAATTGACAATGAACAAATCCCGTGTGCGTCCCATTCATGTTGCCAAAATTTCTTGTCTGAAAAATTACAAACGATAGACGGCCAAGCCTTGTGGAGACCTTTCAAACCCCAAACCTGTAGATACTTGCAAACTTAATACTAAAATAAACATTTTAATTAATGATAAATAAAAGGAGTGTATGGAAAAAGAGCTCAAAACGTACCTACATCTTTCACATCTTTAGATCCTGTGCAGTTTTCCTTTGTCGCATTGATAGTGGTACCGTTTGAATAAGCTGGCCATATACCATGTAGTGTGAAGTTGTGTGTCAATTCTTCTATACATGTCTTATTACATTTCTTAACAGACTCTGTCATGCAGAACGTTTGTGGCCATTGTTGAACCATTTGGAGATGATGATAAGGAACGTTAATGCCAACAGAATCTAAAACAGACATACGCGGACGTGTTTGGAGATGATCATAAGAAATACTGTCATCAAATTCCGAAACAGATTGCATCTGCGAACGTGTTCGGAGACGATCATAAAAAAGGGGGAAAATATATTGTGAAACAAGGAGGGGGGGGACAAGGAGAAGGGCGAACAAATAAAAGGTTCTCATTTTTTGTGTGATATATGGGTGAGCTACGTCAAGTGTGGCTGCAGTGTGTTGAAAATATTTATACTGGTCAAAAGCTATAGGGCTGGCGTCCCTAGCCCGACATGTATTTTTCACCAATTAATAAATAGCAATCCATATGACTTGTTGTTTTCGACGATTAAATAGAAACAAACGGTGGCAGGGTTCATGATGAAGTTATTGTATACAGAAAATATTAGAATGTTGCTCAATAAAAATTTACCATCAGATGAAATTTATATCCGTTTGTTTGGATTTAAAATATTTTTTTTAAATATATATATATATATATATATATTTTAAGTAAAATATTTTTTTATTTTTATTTTGTCGGTGTTTGGTAAACGTCTACATCGAAGTTGAGATCGAGTCTATCGGGTAGGACATGTAAAATAACTTGTTAAAATTAATGAATAATTTATTTTTGTTAAATTTTAATATATTTTTTTTGTAAATATTTTACAATAACTAAATACCAAAAAATAAGTAAATATTTTTTAAAAAATATTTTACGCCTAAATAAACGAAACCTAATTCTTATAAATTTTACTTTCAACGAAATGATTCATTTTCATTGAATGAATTAGTTGGTCCGCAGCCCCCATGATATGTTGGTTCCCCCCACCCCGGGGGCCGCCGCCGATATGATTCATTTTCATTGAATGAATTAGTTGGTCCGCAGCCCCGGCATTTATTGTCAGCCCACACGAAATTGGTTAGGCTATTATTTTTCAACTCTAATTCGTAGCTAGTACGTCTTCTAACAAACCTCTTTCGTGTTGTTTTCTTTCTTAAAATAGACAGCTCAATCAAGGTAGAAGTTAACAAATCTCTTTTTGTTGTTTTCTTTCTCAAGGTAGAAGTTAACAAACCTCTTTTTCTTCTAACAAACCTCTTTTGTGTTGTTTTCTTTCTTAAAATAGACAGCTCAATCGAGGTAGCAGTTAACAAACCTCTTTTTGTTGTTTTCTTTCTTAAAATAGACAGCTCAATCAAGGTTGAAGTTAACAAACCTCTTTTGTGTGGTTTTCTTTCTTAAAATAGACAGCTCAATCAAGGTAGAAGTTAACAAACCTCTTTTTGTTGTTTTCTTTCTTAAAATAGACAGCTCAATCAAGGTAGAAGTGCAAAACTTCTGCACCCAGTGATATATCTTGGACTCCTCCAAATATGTATAAGTAAATAGAGATTTTTTGGAATTTCTTTAAGCATTTTTTAAAGCCTTTAGAGTTTTCTAGTATAATTTCACCACTAAATTGATATATTATATAAAAAACACACACTCTTAGCTTTTTCTTTTTTCTTTTTTTCTTTTTTTGTCCGTCCAAACCATTCTAAGGAGACCTCTATCATACTATGAGAACGACTAGCGTATACAATTATAGAAGGACAGTAAATTTGATTGGTTGAAAAATCAATCATAAAATGTATAATTAATACATCTTTCTTATTTTTATGGAATTTTTAAACTTAACATTTTAAAACCAAATGAGCCTTTAAAGCTTAACATTTTCCTCTCTTGCCATATACCTATATAATCTTCCTTCTTTCATTTGTTACATATATATTATTACCTTCATTCTTTCTTTTATTTTTTTTTAATGGTTCTTAACTGTTTATATATATGTGTGTGTTATGTGAATGATTAAAAAAAAAAAAACCTCATGTTATTTCCTTTCTCCTATTTCTTTTTTTCAATACTTTCATTTCCTTTGTTATATATATATACATTTTTATTGTTTTTTTTTTTTTTAAATATATATATATAGGATGAAAACTCAAATTGTATAAAAATTAAAAAAAACATCTGATATATATTTTTTAATTTTGTAACAATTTTTTGTGTGTGTGTGTGTGTGTGTGTGTGTGCGCGCGTGGAATAGGATTATTATTCTAATACTCAAATTTGATAAGTAAAATAGGATTATTATTCTAATTGGCAACTTTTAAAAAATATATAGATTGAGGAAGTTTGAGTAGAATATGATTATTATTGTAATTGGTAACTTTTTAAAAAATATAGCTCGAGGAATATAGCTTTTTATCTTCTTTTTTTACTCAATCTGGATAGAACTTCAAAAACATCAGAAAAAAATAGTAATTCGTAACTATTTTTTTTTTCAAATTTTTCTTTTTTTAATAGAATAGGATTATTATTCTAATGCTCAAATTAGATAAGTAGAATAGGATTATTATTCTAATTGGTAACTATTTTAAAAAATATAGCTTGAAAAAATTGTAATTCGTAACTTTTTTCAATTTTTTTTTTTTTTTTAATAGAATAAGATTATTATTCTAACACTCAAATTAGATGAGGAGAATAGGATTATTATTCTAATTGGTAACTATTTTAAAAATATAGCTTGAGGAATTTTGAGTAAAATAGGATTATTAATAAGATTATTATTCTAATTGGTAACTTTTAAAAAAATATAACTTGAGAAATTTTGAGTAGAATATGATTATTATTGTAATTGGTAGCTTTTTTATCGTTATTTTTTTAAAACAATATATAGGATGGAAACTCAATTTGAATAGAAATTAGTATATTAATATTATAAGGAAGGTGGATTACAAAAGAAAGTTAAATTTATTATTCATTTATTATAAATAAATAAATAAAATAATGTATTGTAACACAATAATATACTGAAACACAATTATGTACTGAAACTTTTTATACTTTTATAGATAGATATAGATATAGATATAGATATAGATATGAAGGAGGAAATTATACCTTTGGATTAGATATCCCCTGATTCTTAACATTCTTTCTATGAAGGAGGAGATTTTTAGCTTTCCTTATATACAAGTTAAAACTACGTGTGGCACGTGATTAGAATTAGTCATATTTTGCAGATAGTAAAATAGTTTATATGAGAAATAAAAATAATTTGAGAATCAAATGAAAAAAGAAAATTAAAATAATTGACCATATTGGCAACTTGCAGATAGAAGTGATAAATTAATTTAGTTTATATATTTATAATCTTAGGGCAAAAATAAGTTTAACTTTAAGGTATCATTTATCCAAGTCGCATTTGACAATTAATGTAAAAAATACGTCATTATTACTTATTGTGCAATAAATTCTATTACTGCTAGGCTGGTAGAGCTAACCAAACTAATCTATATAATATGTACAATCATATATTGATCAAATTTGAAATCAAAGGCTTGAATTTGTATAGTTTTTTTTTGGAAGTAATGAATTTGTATAGTTCAACAACCAAAAGTACAACCAATTTTCATTCTTATTTTTTTAATAAACATATTATGTACAGGCGGATGCATTTTATTTTGTAAGTGAATATGTATTTTTATGATTAAAATAATAAATAATGACACAAGTAAAATAATCACTAAATATTTTTAAAATGTAGTAAAACTTTTAGAATGAATTTTGGTTTTATGATTATATCAAACATATTTTTAAATAAATAAAATTGGGTTAACTAAAATTTGTTTGGAGACAACTTGTAAACTAATTTGATTCGTATATTTTATATAAATAAATATTAAAATAAGAAGAGCCAAATATGTGTAAGTCTATGACATTTATTCAAATACAAAGATAAATTTATAGGGAAGTTTTTAAATTCAATTTTAGTATGATGGGGAATTTATTAAAAAAAAAACATTATATAATTATAAAAAATAATAATTAAAAGTCAATAAATATATAATTTATGAGTAGTCAAACGATACTGACTCTTTTTTTTTTTTTTTTTTTTTTTTCATGTAGAAGGTAATATAGTCTCCAAATTAAGGAGGTGTGAGTATTTCAATGATAAATCTAGACAGATGAAAAAAGATTAATATAACGACAAGTCTTTCTTCGCACGTCCTTTAATCTTTTTATTTATTTTATTTTATTATAGTCACACGTGGGACATAGTGCAATTCATTGGTATTTTTTGGTTGCCACATCCATTCTCTCTCCTGCCTCCCTGTTTTGTATATTTGAGTCTCTAGCGAATTTACGTATAATGGAAGGCATTTTAATTATTTAATATATCATAACAAACTTGTTATTGTGGAAAATAAGAAGATAGATATGGCTTTTATTGAATATTAATATCCGGTGCATATCATATCATATATATATATATATATATATATATTCTTTCATGCATCAAGCACGTCTAGCTGTTCTGGGAATTTTGATCATATCACCCTGACACTCCCTTTGGTCTTGGCGGGGTGGACATGAGATATAATTTGTGTTGAGACAAATAAATATCTCTTTTAGTAAGAAATCACTTTTTGTGTTTTTTGCATGAAAAGTCAGCACTAATATTTTGTCCAGTGCGACTTTGGAGGGCTGTCATGATAACTGACTTGTTGTAAGTGTTGCCGGGTTTGATGCCGGCATCAGGGAGGGATCTGTTAAGATTGATTTTTGTTGTTTGTTTGATTGCTAATCGGAAGTATTGTAAGGCGGTTCGGAATTTTGACAATGAACAAATCCCCTGCTGCAGCCAAAATTTCTTGTCCCTTATATCACAAGTACTACTACTGCTGCGGTTGTGAATCATTATGTTATGTGGTCCTCGTCAGCGGCTCCGACTCTGAAATTGGAATTTGGCAAGAAACATCTCCTGTGCTTATCCCACTCATGTTGCCAAAAAGCCTCGTTGGGCCTTCTAGTGATAGACGGCCAAAATCTTTTGAGACGGCTCTCCAATTTCCCAAACTGTTACATATATACATGAAAACCGCAATGATATATTAATATATAAAACAAACATTTACTACTCGTATATATTAATGATGATATATAACTAATATGATCTGAGTGAAGGAGTGCGTTGGAAACATACCACATCATCCAAATATTCAGGTCCATGGTCACATGTAAGTCCGTAACCACTCTCATTAGCTGGCCATAGCCCATGTAACGTAAATTTGTCTTTTGGCCATGGACGTCTGCAGGACACTTTACCTCTGCAGTATGTCGGCGGCCATAGATGAACCAATTGGAGATGGTGATAACGATCTTGAACCAATTGGAGAGTATCATAAGAACCACCCAAAACAAAGTGTGAAACAAAGAGAAAAGAGAGGAGATTAAAGGTCTTCATTTTTTTCAGTAATATATATATATATATATATATATATATATATATATATATATATATATATTTGTGTGTGTGCGCGCGCGCGCTAGAGAGGGATGAAGTGATACAAGTAGCGTGCATGGCTAGCTGTGCGTTCCAAATATTTATAATGGTGTTAATAGAGCTGGCAGAGTTCCTCGTACAACTTGGTATGTTTTTTGGCAATTAAAGAGGTCCATAAAACTTGAATAAATACAAAAACTACCAATAGAGGTCCATTCAAGTTGTATTTTCTGGCATTTAATAATTAATTAAATAGAAACAAACCTGAGGAGCCTGAGGAGAGGAGGGACTGATTAATGGTTTTATTTGGCGGGATGGCAAGCACTGTTGGAATTTTTGGATGTCTAGCTGATTAAATCAATAACAATAATTTAAGAAAAAATAAAGTCTGCAAGGATAAAAAATATCATTTTGTTATTTCCTTTCTTAAATTAGACTTGCCGAAGTGTAAAATTTAATTCTGTCATCTAATTAAAGAATGATATACACCTGTCATTTTTGATAATACTTAAGTCTTTATTAGTGAAATCTATAACATATTCACCCTTAATGTGGATCAATAATAAATTGACATGTGATCTTTAATTACCAAATCAAAAATGGTAGGTAAATATTCACTTAACGGTGAATATGTTGTAGATACTTACTAGTGAAGACCTAAGTATTGTCTATTAAAAAATGATATACATTAGTCATTTTGGACTCATCTAAATTAAATATCCAAAGATTGAGTTATCATTTTTTTTAAAAGCCGTCTTACAACATGTATTTTTCAGCAATTAATAAAATAAAAATTTATACTATTTATGTTTTTCGGCAATTAAAAACAAACCGTGAGGCTCACATTGAAAATATTGTATTTCTTTGGCGTTAGAAGATCTTGAGTGAGTGAGATGCACAACATTATTGGTACGCTCACTTAATAAAAAATAAAATTGGTCCCACTTTTTTATAAAAACAGCTTTCAATAAATTGATCAAATATATTTTCATTGAGTAGAAAAACTAATAAAACATGGTGGAGCTCACTCAATACCTACTCAGCTGACAAGGTCCCTAGTTTTTTTATTAGTTTGGCTATGTATCATTTCCATATTTAATTCATACCTCCTCTAACAAACCTCCTTTTGTTGTTTTCTTTCCATTTTTAATTCATACATCCTCTAACAAACTTACTTTTGTTGTTTTCTTTCTTAAAATTGACAGCTGTAGAAGTGCAAAACTTAGTTGGTCATTTTAAAAACTGATATCCACCCAGTGATCTTGGACACCATTAAATTAAATATCCAAAAAACATGTATTAGTAAAAAGCGATTATATTTTGAAATTCATTTAAGCACTTTAAAAAAGCCTTGAGTTTTCTGGCACTAACCTTGGTGAGTAGTTCTCATTTTGTATAAATAATGACAAAAGTTGAGCATATATATATAAGTTCACCATTTATTTTCAAGTGACATATTATATAAATAACACACACCCACATATATATATATATGTGTGTGTGTGTCTTCTTCTTACCAAGGGAGGAACTATTAATGGGTTAACCTGGGCTATAGCACAGGTCCAATTAAAAAATAAAAAAATAGTACTACTGTTCATATAAGCCCAATGCATATGTAATCAATTTGTAGTACTATTCTTCCTTTTCCTATTAGCCCAACTGTTCATGTGTTTATTTGGACAATATGCTGCCACTAGTTCTATCCTTATTCTTCTTACTGTTCTTGCATTTATCTTTGATTTTTTTCCCCTTAAGTAAGAGTATAAATTATTTAATTAGAAACCATAATTTAAAAAGTTTACAATTACTAGAAAGTGAGAAAACATCCAACTTTTCATTCAAATTAGGATATAAATCCATATTTCCTATAACATGGGTGGTCTTATTTCAAAATCTAAGCACATTAATCAATTAATAGTTGAAAACAAGTTCAAGATTCAGTTGGATAATTTTTTATTTTATTTTTACCCGAAAAATGAATTCCAATGGGTACTTTGATGGTGGATAACAAATATGTTTTTATACCTGATTTTAAGTTGAGATTTAAATTTGGTAAATTAGATTTATAGGTTATCTCAGATTAGATCTTCAGTAAAAAAAAAAAATGATCAATTTCATTATCTAATTACTTGGACATGAAAGTAAAATCATGTTGACTATAATATACCCTAATCATATCTCACTTATACAAAAAAAAAATTCTAATATTTTATAACTTTTATTATATTCATCTTTAAAATTTTTTATCTTTAGCTCCTATTTGCAATCTTGACTCCCCCTGCTTTTTCGGTATTTGTTTTATGGTGAATTCACTTTTGGCTCGTGTGTTAATGTTTGGTACGATAATCTTTTACTTGTTCGTATGCTTATGGCCTTGACATGCGCATCTGCTTGGTTCGATGCTATTTTTATTTTATTTTTTTGTAGAATCAAACCTATAATTATTGTTGCATTTTGGTGCCATTAATAGTGGACAACTGTAACGGGTGGGCGCTTGCCCATTTACCCAAAAGCTCGAACTGTTAGGTAAGGCTGCATACCCATCCATTTATACCCAATCTGACCCTTGTTACATTCTCCCCTACCCAAACTCGCAACGCCCTCGTTGCGGTTAGGCCACCCTGCCTACCCGGGTGGACTCACCCGGACGCCTTCCGGATCGAGCGCTTGGCGTGGCACCGGATCAAGGACTGGGTTTGGCTCTGATACCAACTGTAACGGGTGGGCGCTTGCCCATTTACCCAAAAACTCGAACTGTTAAGTAAGGCTGCATACCCACCCATTTATACCCAATCTCTTTCCCATCCGATTCCGATGTGGGACAAAATGACCCTTGTTATAACAACTGCAGTACATACAACAACACTAGTATCACATATAAAATCGTGAAGTTTTAGGTACTTGCATGAGTACATTATATATACAAATTAATTAAATGGAAAAAATATCCATTTAAAATGGTCATGAGACCATTATGTAACTTACAACTTAGGTCCGTTTAACATGCGTTTTGCTTTTATTATTTTTATTTTTAAACTGTTATAGTGTAAATTTTGACAATAAAAACATATTTAGTGCTGCCTTGTTTTATTTTGCACAATACTAAAATACTTCGTGAATAATAACTCAAAATAAAAATACCAAAATGATATTTTTTTTTCTTATTTTGACAATTATTCATGGTCCAAAACCATAATTGTATATGTTTCTTTTTTCGAAATTTTTACAACAAAACATCGTTTCCAAACGTACTTTTAATTTTTTTTTTTTTTTTTTCAAAACATTTCTACACTAAAAACATTTTTTTTTGTTTTAGTCCAAATCAAAACGTCTAAAACAAAGTACATGTCAAAAAAGTTTTTTTACTGCTACGAAAGAGTGGGGTGAGAGTCATGGTGCGTGTCATTGCAATTACCTCATAATTACACACTTTAGCTGACCTAACAAATCAAAATTCGAGGTTAGGTGTCAATTCAATACACTTTACGATCCTATCTACATTTTGTCACATTTAATGAGAAGAGAAAGGAACCATCATTTTCATAAACAAATTTAGGGTGCGATTGGATATGCTGGTGAGAAAATAAAATAAATAATAGTATTACTTAGAAGGGAAAAGAAAAAAATAATAATAATAATAATAGTAATAATTTATATTCATGTTTTGATAGATATGAAAGAAAAGAAAAGAAAAGAAAGGATAATCATCATTATTTGGATAAAATAGAAGAGAGAACATAAAAGAAAGGATAATAATCAAATTACCATCCTATCCTTTTATATTTGTAAGTGGTTTCTTTTAAGTCCCTTTTCTTTTGAGTTTAATCAAAGAATACTAATTCTGAATTATTGTTTGAATGTGCCATTTTAAATGACATTTTTTTATTTATTATTGTTTGAATGTGCCCAAGCAATTTTTTTATTATCTGGATGTGGCCAGTTAAACAATTAACAAATAATTTCTTGAACTCAATAGCAGCAGAAAAGATTTTGTTGCCCTAGTAGTTGCATACTAGGACATGAATAGAATAACAAATCTATACATTTAGTTGTAGAGGTTAGTTTTGGTATTATCAAAATATTACTAAACCACACTATGCTTCTCTCCCTATCTTCTCAATTTTGGAGACCCTATCATCTATTTTCTCTCCATTTAATTCACCAAAACACATTCTCCATATCCTTTTTTTTTTCCTTTTCTTTCCTTATCCCTCCAAATCATCCCATCCAAGACTATTATTCAAATATTCGTCCCACTTTCAATGTCCTCAATGTCTGCCTTCCTATCATCCTTTTCCGTGTCAATATTATGTGACATTTGAACTCAACAAGTATCTTTATATTAAAAAAAAAAAAAAAAAATGACATAATTTATTTTTTAAGAAGATGATACATTAGTTAGAGATGTTACATATTTTAATTAATAACCATTGCACTAGGAATGACCTTTATTTATGTTATGTATTTATGGTTATTAATATTAATTTTGTATAGAGAAATTAGATTAAAAAAATTAAATAAAAAATCTTATTTATGGTTACATTAAAAAAGGGAGACAATATCGGCACTCCACTTTTCAATATTTGCACTACAATCTTAAATGAAATGGCAACTATAACCCTAACTTTACAAATAAATAATTATTAATTTTTAAATGACATAACTGCCGTTCCTCTCCTTATCTACAATTTTAATATTTTAGGTCATAAGAAAAAAAGGTACTAAAATAAGAGGATTAAAAAAAAAATTACCTCTATTGAATAAATGATCATGTTTGATGATACCGGAAAAAAAAAAAAAAAAAAAAAAAAAAAAAAAAAAAAAAAAAGGAAGAAGAAGAAGAAGAAGTTATTTTTATTATGGAATAAATTATTTCTTTTTGACTGCCAAAAATAAAATTATTAGTATGGAATAAATTATTTTCTTTAATAAGACCTCCGAAAAAACAAAAAGAAAGGAAAATAATAGTAAAAAAATAAAAATAAAAAATAAAATTGTATAAAGTGTATTTATGACATTATAAATTAAGTGATGTGCATTAATTAATTCAAAGACCTTCTTGTCAATTT